CTTTTAGTTGGTCTTCCCCCCGGTTTTTACTTGAAGGGGGCCGGCGGAATTCTTGTGCGATAAATAAGTCGAAGGGGGCCGGCAGATTTCAATTGTGAGGACGAAGGCCATTTTTCGCCACCCCTCACGCAGATCGTGCTCTTGGAATTTTACTGCCTTGAAGGAAACCTCGATATTTCACAGGTGAAGTCCACTTTTTTCCGACATCGACTTTAAACGATAAAAAACAAGGTAAACGCGTTCGCTCGATAAATAACGAGGTACCGCGGCCTCCGGAACGGCGCTGGGAACGGAGTTTTGGATTCTTGAAGTTGCATAAGTTCGGAAATCGCAGAAATCCCATGTGTTTTTTTACCCTGACCCCGCCGATCTGCGTGAGGTGTGGCACGGAATACCAGAAATGTGTCAAATCCCCTGTGTTTTTGGACCCTGACCCCGCCGATCTGCATGAGGGGTGGCGCGGAATTCCAGAAATGTGGCAAATCCCTTGTGTTTTTGGACCCTGACCCCGCCGATCTGCGTGAGGGGTGGCACGGAATTCCAGAAATGTGGCAAATCCCATGTGTTTTTGGACCCTGACCCCGCCGATCTGCGTGAGGGGTGGCACCTAATTTCAGAAATGTGGCAAGTCCCATGTGTTTTCAAACCTTGACTTCGCCCAGGAGGGCCCAGGAGGCTCCAGGAGAGCCCAGGAGAGCCCAGGAGGGCCCAGGAGAGCCCAGGAGGGCCCAGGAGGACCCAGGAGGCTCCAAGAGGCACCAGGGGGCCCAAGGAGGGCCCAGGAGAAGCTCAAGGAGGCTCCAGGAGAGCCCAGGAGGGCCCAAGAGGTCCAAGGAAGACCCAGGAGGGCCCAGGAGCCCTTACGAGGGATCGTGGCCCTGGGAGCGCTGACGTAGAGTAATTTACGAGGGATCGTGGCCCTGGGAGCGCGGGTGTAGTGTAATTTTTTTGGATGTCCCTCGCCACACGCTTGTTTTTCAGAATTTGTTGAGGATGTCTCGAGCGAAACGCTGGTTTTGCAGAGTTGGGGATGTCTCGAGCGAAACGCTTGTTTTCAGAATTTGTTGAGGATGTCTCGAGCGAAACGCTGGTTTTGCAGAGCCGACAGCGACGCGGAAAAGCGTCCCGCGCGCAGGAATTCCGATGATGTTTCGCGCGTGCGGCGTCCCGCGCGCAGGAATTTCGAGGATGTCTAGACTAATTCGTTTGTTTTGCAGGATTTCTTTGAATTTTGGCAGGATGTCTCGAGCGAAATGCTTGTCGTTCATAATTTGTTGAAGACGTTTCGAGCGAAACGCTGGTTTTGCAAAATGTTCATAATTTGTTGAGGATGTCTCAAGCGAAACACTGGTTTTGCAAACTTGGGCGATGTCTCGAGCGGGGGCCTCGTAGGGGGCCAGAATTCAGAGGATGTCTGAGGCAAAATGCTTGTTATCACGTCCCGCTCGCAGGAATTCAGAGGATGTCTCGCGCGTGCCGCGTCCCGCGCGCAGGAATTTCGAGGATGTCTTGACTACTTCGTTTGGTTTGCCAGGATTTCCTTGGATGTTGACTGGATGTCTCGAGCGAAACGCTTTTCCCCAGCACGTTCCGTAGCGCGTCCCCTTGGCACGTCGGGCGGTGCGCCCCCATGGCACGTCCCTTGGCACGTCGCTTGGCGCGCCCCTTGAGACGTTCCGCGGCGCGACCTCCTGGCATGTCCCCCTGTCAATTAGCTCTGGGGCAGCTACTATGTGTTCAGGCAACTCGAGCTTAAGATCCAGATCAGTTCGGTCAGGACTCGGATGCACAGGATGACTCGATCCACGAGGCTATAGAGCAAAATCGCGCCATGGCACATCGCAATTCAGCACGGTGCAGCACAGCACAGCCCTCGGCAGGGTACATCAAGATCGATACAATCAGCATTGCAACCTGGCACGTTCCTTGGCACGTTCCGTGGCGCGTCCCGTGACGAGCCCTCCTGGCACGTCGCGTAGCGCGTCCCCTGGCACATCCCGTGGCACATCCATTGGCCCGTTCCGTAGCGCGTCCTTTTGGCACGTCCCGCGGTGCGACCCCATGGCACGTCCCCTGGCACGTCGCCTGGCGCATCCCTTTGGACGTTTCGCGGCGTGTCCTCCTTGCATGTTCCCCTGACAATTAGCTCTGGGGCAGCTACTATGTGTTCAGGCAGCTCGAGCTTAAGATCCAGATCAGTTCGGTTAGGACTCGGATGCACAGGATGACCCGATCCACGAGGCTATAGAGCAAAATCGCGCCATGGCACATCGCAATTCAGCACGGTGCAGCACAGCACAGCCCTCGGCAGGGTACAGCAAGATCGATACAATCAGCATTGCATTTGCCCGTCACCCAACCAGATGTTTTTGAAAACGCTGCCATGTGTTACAGTTCTATATTCCTTTCCGGGTTCGTGGGTCGATCATGTTTTTTCATGCTTAGGCCACCCAGGGAGATCTCTAACATGATTGTCCCGAGCTGGAACCACGTGTTTTTACGTTTCCAGGCCACCCAGGGGGTATCTCTCATGGTTGTCCCGAGTTGGCACCGTGTTCTTACGTGTCCAGGCCACCAACACGACGCTTGTCCCCAGCACGTTCTGTAGCGCGTCCCCTTGGCACGTCCCGCGGTGCGTCCCCGTGGCACGTCCCCTGGCACGTCGCCTGGCGCGTCCCTTGGAACGTTCCGCGGCGCGTCTTCCTGGCATGTTTCCTTGTCAATTAGCTCTGGGGCAGCTACTACGTGGACTATGTGCTCAGGCAGCTCGAGCTTAAGATCCAGATCAGTTCGGTCAGGACTCGGATGCAAAGGAGGACTCGATCCACGAGGCTATAGAGCACAATCGCGGCATGGCACATCGCAGTTCAGCACGGCGCAGCACAGCACAGCCTTCGGCACGGTACATCAAGATCGATACACTCACTCAGCATTGCAACCTGGCACGTTCTTTGGCACGTTCCGTGGCGCGTCCTGTGGCGAGTCCCCCTGGCACGTCGCGCGGCGCGTCCCCTGGCACGTCCCGTGGCACGTCCATTGGCACGTTCCGTAGCGCGTCCCCTTGCACGTCCCGCGGTGCGTCCCCATGGCACGTTCCCTGGCACGTCGCCTGGCGCGTCCCTCGGAACTTTTGGCGGCGCGTCTTCTTAGCATGCCCCCCCGTGAATTAGCTCTTGGGCAGCTACTATGTGCTCAGGCAGCTCGAGCTTAAGATCGAGATCAGTTCGGTCAGGACTCGGATGCAAAGGAGGACTCGATCAACAACGCTATAGAGCAAAATCGTCACGTGGCACATCGCAATTCAGCACGGCGCAGCACAGCACTGCCTTCGGCACGGTACATCAAGATCGATGCATTCAGCATTGCAACTTGGCAAGTTCTTTGGCACGTTCCTTGGCGTGTCCTGTGGCGAGTCCCCCTTGCACGTCGCGCGGCGCGTCCCCTGGCACGTCCCGTGGCACGTCCATTGGCACGTTCCGTAGCGCGTCCCCTTGGCACGTCCCGCGGTGCGTCCCCGTGGCACGTCCCCTGGCACGTCGCCTGACGCGTCCCTTGGAACTTTTGGCGGCGCGTCTTCCTAGCATGCCCCCCCGTGAATTAGCTCTTGGGCAGCTATTATGTGCTCAGGCAGCTCGAGCTTAAGATCGAGATCAGTTCGGTCAGGACTCGGATGCAAAGGAGGACTCGATCCACAACGCTATAGAGCACAATCGTCACGTGGCGCATCGCAATTCAGCACGGCGCAGCACAGCACAGCCCTCGGCACGGTACATCAAGATCGATACACTAAGCATTCCATTTGCCCGTCGCCCAATCAAATGTCTTTGAAACGTTGCCAAGTCTTACATTTCTATATTCCTTTCCGGGTTCGTGGGTCGATCATGTTGGGCCCCTCAGGAAAGCGCCCAGGGGCGCCGATCATCGGTTGTGCTTCTGCTTCCGCCTTGGGGCCAGGGGTCCGCACCGCAGAGCTCGGTGGGCTCACCCTGGCCGCTCGTCACCACCCACCAAGCCACCCCAGCCCAACCCGAAGGCCCCAATCTGCCCTCCACTGCCAGTGGGGGGGGGGGGAAACGGTGAACAAAAAGACATGGGGCCCGTACACATTGTTCATGTCTAATTGTTCGAAAGTTCTTTGATGTTTGGGGGGCCAAGATCCTTACATTTCTAACTGTTCTCTCCCAGGCCTCTTCCTGGCCACTAGGGGGCCAGGAACAGTTAGAAACGAGCACAATTCGAAATGAGCACGTTGAGAAATGAACGACATGTACCCCCCCAACCCGAAATTTGGGTTTTCGGGTCGGGTTGGGGTGGTCTGGTAGGTGGTCAGCTCAGTTCGAGCCGAGCTCGGAGCCTCGGGGCGCGCGCGCGCCGGGCCCGCGCTCGTCGGGGGCGTGCCGCGGGCTGGCCGTGGACCGATCTTCCACCGAAGAGCGCCTTCATTCAAGCAGTGGCGAAGCGTCCTGGCGTGCCTAAGGGCCAACCAAAGAATGTTCTAAGAACCTGTGTGTGTGGTTTCAACGAAATGTTCTTGGAACATTTCTGGCTGGGACAGTCTTGTTCGAACACCTCGGGTGCCTCTTCTAAGAACACGGTTTCTGTTCGTAGAACATGTTTGGGCTCTAAGAACATGTCGTGGTAGGCCTATAGGAATGCCGGGACGGTCGGACCCTGCTTAACGCATCAGCATGGACCAGGGCCCGATTCGGCTTCAGGCCCGTTTCGGCTTCCGGCCCGTTTCGGTCTCGGCCCGTGCGGGCCTGGACCCAAAGGGCCGAAGCCGAAGCGTGCCGAAACCGAAACGGGCCGAGGCCGCAACAGACCGACGGAGCCGAGACGGGCCGGAGCCGAAACGGACCGAGGCCGAAAGCGGCTTCTTCCCTTGGCCCCGAGAGGAGGGCGCCGTGCGCACCCGCGCCGCGGCGGCGACGAGCGGCGGCCTGGGGTCGGCGCCCGCCGCCGCGTCGCAGCGGCGGCGCGCGGCGGACGCTGCGCGCGGGCCTGCGTCGGCGCCCGCCGCGGCGGTGGCGCTGCCCTGCCGCGACCCGTCGGCGGCGAGCAGCGGGGACGTCGGGGCCCGGATCGCCGACGATGAGTTTTTGTGGGGATTTTCCCGGAAAGGGCTTCAGGCCCAGGGTTTTCTATTCGTAGGTTTACCCCCGGTTTTGACGGGAAGAGGGCCGGCGGATTTCTGTTGCGATAAATCACGAGTGGGAAGAGGGCCGGCGCATTTAGATTTCAGGATGTCCCTGGCGAAACGCTTATTTTTCAGAATTTGTTGAGGATGTCCCGAGCGAAACGCTTGTTTTGTGTTACAGATTGTCCTCTCCTGGGGACCAGAATTTAGAGGATCTCTCAAGTGAACTGCTTGGTTTCACGTGTCCAGGTCTTGAGGATGTCTCGAGCGAGACGCTTGGTTTCACGCCTCCAGGTTGCCCAGGCAGAGGTCAAGCATGAGGATTTGTTGAGGATGTCTCGAGCGAGACGCTTGGTTTCACGCGTCCTCGTCGCCCAGGCGGATGTCTAGAATGAGGAGGTGTTGAGGAAGTCTCGATCGAGATGCTTGTTTGCACGTGTCCAGGTTGCCCAGGCGGATGCCTAGCATGAGGATGTGTTGAGAATGTCTCGAGAGATACGCTTGTTTTCACGTGTCCAGGTCGCCCAGGCGGATGTCTAACATGAAGATGTGTTGAGGATGTCTCGAGCGAGACGTTTGCTTTCACGTGTACAGGTCGCCAAGGCGGATGTCTAGAATGAGGAGGTGTTGAAAACGTCTCCAGCGAAACCTTTATTTTCACGTGCCCAGGTCACCCAGGCGGACGTCTCACATGAAGATGTGTTGAGGATGTCTCGAGCGAACTACTTGTTTTCACGTATCCAGTTCGCCCAGGCGGATGTCTAGCATGAGAATGTGTTGAGGACGTTTTGAGCGAAACGTTTGTTGTCACGTGTCCAGGTCGCTCAGGCGGATGCCTAGAATGAGGATGTGGACAGGATGTCTCGAACGAAACGCTTGTCCCCAGCACGTTCCGTAGCGCGTCCCCTTGGCACGTCCCGCGGTGCGTCCCCGTGGCACGTCCCCTGGCATGTCGACTGGCGCGTCCGTTGAGACGTTCCGCGGCGCGTCTTCCTAGCATGTCCCCCTGTCCATTAGCTCTGGGGCAGCTACTATGTGTTCAGGCAGCTCGAGCTTAAGATCCAGACCAGTTCGGTCAGGACTCGGATGCAAAGGAGGACTCGATCCACGACGCTACAGAGCACAACCGCGGCATGGCACATCACAATTCAGCACGGTGCAGCGCAGCACAGACTTCGGCACGGTGCATCAAGATCGATACAATCAGCATTGCAACCTGGCACGTTCCTTGGCACGTTCCGTGGGGCGTCCCTTGGCGAGTCCCCCTGGCACGTCGCGTGGCGCGTCCCCTGGCATATCCCGTGGCACATCCATTGGCGCGTTCCGTAGCGCGTCCCCTTGGCACGTCCTACGGTGCGACCCCATGGCACGTCCCCTGGCACGTCGCCTGGCGCGTCCCTTGGGACGTTTCGCGGCGCGTCCTCCTGGCATGTCCCCCTGTCAATTAGCTCTGGGGCAGCTACTATGTGTTCAGGCAGCTCGAGCTCAAGATCCAGATCAGGTCGGTCAGGACTCGTATGGAAAGGAAGACTCGATCCATGACGCTATAGAGCACAACCGCGGCATGGCACATCGCAATTCATCACGGCGCAGCACAGCACTGCCTTCGGCACGGTACATCAAGATCGATACAGTCAGCATTGCGACCTGGCACGTTCCTTGGCACGTTCCGTGGGGCGTCCCTTGGCGAGTTCCCCTAGCACGTCGCGTGGCACGTCCCCTGGCACATCCCGTGGCACATCCGTTGGCACGTTCCATAGCGCGTCCCCTTTGGCACGTCCCGCGGTGCGACCCCATGGCACGTCCCCTGGCACGTCGCCTGGCGCGTCCCTCGAGACGTTTCGCGGCGCGTCCTCCTGGCAGGTCCCCCTGTCAATTGGCGCTGGGGCAGCTACTATGTGTTCAGGCAGCTCGAGCTTAAGATCCAGACCAGTTCGGTCAGGACTCGGATGCAAAGGAGGACTCGATCCACGGCGCTATAGAGCACAATCGCGGCATGGCACATCGCAATGTATCACGGCGCAGCACAGCACAGCCCTCGGCAAGGGACATCAAGATCGATGCACTCAGCATTGCATTTGCCCGTCACCCAATCAGGTGTCTTTGAACACGCTGCCATGGATTACAGTTCTATATTCCGACCCGGGTTCGCGGGTCGATCATGTTTTTGTTGTTGCGGTGTTGAAGTGCATTCTTGTATTTTGATGGTTATCTTCTCAGATTTTGGTCTCCAGAGGCCCCAGGGCCATCAAGAGTGGATTCAGGGTTAGACGCTGCGTCCTGGGGACGCAGTCGGGACCTTTGGGGCCACGGATGGACCAAATCGTACCGTCGGCTGTCAGGGGCGTGCGCGCGCAAGACCGGGGGGTGTGCTGCCCCAGCGGCGGTTCACGACGCGGCCCAGGCTGACCTGGGTCAGCCCATTGGAAATAGTTTCGCGCGTCCCCGAGGACAGGGCGCCCCGTGCGGAGCTCCCGAAGCACCTGCGGCGGTGGGCGGACAGGTCGTTGCCGCCGTCGCCGTCGCCGTCGTCGTCGTCGTCGTCGTCGTCGTCGCCGTCGCCGTCGTTCGAAGGGGTTCGGAGGTTATCGGCGGGCGGACAGGTCGGAGGAGGAAGGCGCCCCCATTGGCGGAGCTTCCGACGCGCCTGCTGCGGTGGGGGCAGGCTCGAGAAATCAGATGAGGAGCAATGTCCGAGGTTTGAGGATCGAGGTTTGGACGTCTTTCTTTCATGCTCGGGCCTCTGGGGACCTCCGAGGCACCTGTGGCGGTGGGGGGACAGGTCGTCGTCGCCGTCGTCGTCGTCGTCGTGGTCGTCGTTCGAAGTTATCTGAGGTTATCGGTGGCAGGACAGGTCGGAAGAGCAACATCTACCGATGCAAGAACCGATGCCTCTCCCTCATTCTCGCCTCGGAGGTGTCAGATGAGAAGAAGAGGTGCGCGCGCGCTCGAGGCGGAGCAGGCGGTGAGAGGTCGTCGAAGTTGTAGTTTTTGAGGTTTGTTTTTGTTGAATTATGATTTCCCACTGCCCAGTGACCATTGTGTTTTTCAATTAAAGTGCTCCTCCTGGGGCTCGGACTTAATTTTTACAAGAGAAGCTGTGGGGTCACCAAACTGCGTAGTTGGGCCCCGAAGTACAACAACAACGGATCCCGCCTGACATTTCATCACATTTAATTTAAATTCGCGCTCTCGCGAGGGACCTCCTCGGAATGTATACAGGAATCGCGCTCTCGCGTGGGAATTCTTCGCAATGTATTCAAGCGCCGCGCCCTCGACGCTCAGGAATCGCGCTCTCGCTCAGGTTTTTCTCGCGAATCAATCGGGAGTCTCCCTGTCGCTCGGGACCTCGCCGTCGACCTGCTGCTGCTGCTGCTGTTGCTGTTGCTCTTTGCTGTAGTAGTAGTAGTAGTAGTAGTAGTAGTAGTAGTAGTAGTAGTAGTAGTAGTAGTAGTAGTAGTAGTAGTAGTAGTAGTAGTAGTAGTAGTAGTAGTAGTAGTAGTAGTAGTAGTAGTAGTAGTAGTAGTAGTAGTAGTAGTAGTAGTAGTAGTAGTAGTAGTAAAGTAAAAGTAAAAGTAAAAGTAAAAGTAAGTAAAAGTAAAAGTAAAAGTAACAGTAAAAGTAGTAGTAGTAGTAGTAGTAGTAGTAGTAGTAGTAGTAGTAGTAGTAGTAGTAGTAGTAGTAGTAGTAGTAGTAGTAGAACTCTAATTACTGAAAAACATTATTGTTGATCCCCCCCCTCCGGCGGACATTGTATTTTTTCAATTGAAGTGCCCCTTCCGGGGCTCGCACCCTGTTTTTTATCAGGGAAAGTCGTGGGCATCAAACTGCGTTGTTGGCCCCCCGGACAACAACAACAACGGCTCCCGCCTGATACTTCCTCCAAATTTACTCAGGACCCCCGCCCCCGCCTGGGACTTCCTCGCAGTTTACTCAGGCGGAGGCGCTCCCGCCTGAGACTTCCTCGCAAATTACTCCGGACCCCCGCCCCCGCCTGGGACTTCCTTGCAGTTTACTCAGGCGGAGGCGCTCCCGCCTGAGATTTCCTCGCAAATTACTCCGGGAGCGGCGCTCCCGCCTGGGACCTCCCTCACAACTGAGCATCAAACTGTGTTGTTGGCCCCCCAGACTACAACAACAACGGCTCCCGCCTGATACTTCCTCCACATTTACTCAGGACCCCCGCCCCCGCCTGGGACTTCCTCGCAGTTTACTCAGGCGGAGGCGCTCCCGCCTGAGACTTCCTCGCACATTACTCCGGGAGCTGCGCTCCCGCCTGGGACCTCCCTCACAACTGAGCCCCGCTGAACTCTCAATACTGAAGAATAATTCTTCTTGATCCCCCCCGGCGGACACAGTATTTTTCCCCGACCTGGCGGAGGGGTTCCCGTTGTGTGTCCCCCTGGGGGGGTCTGGGGGGGGGACCCCCCGGGACATGGCCCCGGCCACGGGCGGAACGCCGGCGGAAGACGGCGGAAGTCCGGCAGGACACGGCATCATTTCTGCAGACGCGCTTCCGGGAGGCACGGACGGCCCCAAGATGGTCCACGAGATGGTTCACGAAGGCCTCGAGTTGCCGAAAGATCGGCCTAAGACGCTCAAGATGGCGTCCCGACGGCCCAGGGAGCCCCTAAGACGCCCCGAAAGACCCCCAAGAGCTTTCCCAGGAGAGTCGGAAACGTCAAAAACCATAAGTTTTCCTTACGTGTTCGAAGGTTTTTGAAGTTTTTGCATTTTCGGCTTCTCGGCGCTCCAAGACGGCCCAAGAGGCCCCAACGATCGCCCCAAGACGGCCTCAGCAGCCCTCAAGACAGCGCCCAGACGGACCAAGACGCCCACAAGACGGCCCAAGAGGCCTCCAAGACCCCCTCAGAAAGCTCAACGAACGCCCCAAAAGAGCCCCCAGAGGGGAGGCGGGGACCGACATTTCGAGCTCCCCGCCCAAAGATCCCCCCCCCAGGAGACCCAGGAGGCCCCCACGAGGCCCCCAAGAGGCCCCCAGGAAGCCCCCTTGGAGGCCCCAAGAGGCCTCAAGACACCTCCAGGAAGCCCCCCGAAGCGCCCACGAGGGCACCGGGACTGTCCCAACAAGGCCCGGGACGGCTGGAGGCGCCTCGACAAAGTGCCGCATCATCGAACAGACAACACGGGAACTTCAGGAGGCACCTCGAGGCACCCAAGAAGACCCCAAGAGGCCTCAAGACCTCAAGAGGCCCCCAGGAAGCCCCAAGACACGCCCAAGGGGCCCCAGGACACCAAACACGGTGGCTCGCATGGTAGCGTGCTGAGCTCACCTCACATGGGTTCAGTTCTCCTACTCCCTCGCATGGCCCCGTGTTCCGCTCGCTTCGTTGCTCGCATGGCAACGTGCTGAGCTCACCCTGCAGGCCGCCCAAGACAGTCTCAAGAAGGCCGCAGGAAGCCTCATGAACCTTTCCGGCTGGAGGCGCCTCGACAAAGTGTCACATCATCAAACAGACAGCACGGGAACTTGAGGAGGCACCTCCAGGCACCCAAGAAGACCCCCAGAGGCTTCAAGACCTCAAGAGGCCCCCGGGAAGCCCCAAGAACCGCCCAAGGGGCCCCAGGACACCGAACACGGTGGCTCGCATGGTAGCGTGCAGAGCTCACCTCACATGGCTTCAGTTCTCCTACTCCCTTTCCTCGCCCGTCATGTCAACCCGCGACCCCCCCACGACGACGACGACTACGACGACCAGGACGACCAGGACGACGACGACGACGACGACGACGACGACGACGACGATGACGGCCCGACTGCCGACGACAACGGCCCGAGCGCCGAGGACGACTGTCCGAGCGCCGCCGCCGCCGCCGCCGCCGACGACGACGACGTCGTCGCCGCCGCGTTTCGCCCGCCCGATCCGCCTGTTACAGCCCGCCCGTTCGCTCTCTTGGCATCTCGCCCGCCCGCTTTAAGCCACCGCCCGCCCGACCCGCCAGCGAGGGTCCGCCGCCCGACCCGTCCGTTGGCGTCCGCCCGCCCCGCCAGCCCGACCCGCCCCTCAGAGTCCGCCGCTCGACCCGTCTGTCTGGTTCGTCCGTTTGTTTACCTCCTCTTTTGCCCCCCTCCCCTCCTGCTAACCTCTTTCGTCCTCCATCCATCCTCCCCCCCTTGCCCCTTCCCTCCTCCCTCCCTCCCCCCACTCTTTTCCTCCTCGCTCTCCCTTCCTCCTTCCCCCTGCTCTTCCTGTTTTAGGGGCTGCGCCAACTACACGTGACGAAGAGGGTGGGTATCGAGGGTTTGGGATTTACATATTGAGTGATGCGCGCGCATATAAGAGCGATCAGTCTTAAGATGATTGTTGTTGTTGTTGAACTCTAGTTACTGAAGAATAATTATTGTTGATCCCCCCCTCCGGCGGACATTGTATTTTTTCAATTGAAGTGCCCCTTCCGGGGCTCGCACCCTGTTTTTTATCAGGGAAAGTCGTGGGTATCAAACTGCGTTGTTGGCCCCCCGGACAACAACAACAACGGCTCCCGCCTGATACTTCCTCCAAATTTACTCAGGACCCCCGCCCCCGCCTGGGACTTCCTCGCAGTTTACTCAGGCGGAGGCGCTCCCGCCTGAGACTTCCTCGCAGTTTACTCAGGCGGAGACGTCCCGCTCGCTCCCGCCTGGGACTCTCCCTCCTCTGTTTCGGGGGCGGGCCCTCCGCCCCCGAGACTGCGAAAGCCTGTGCCGTCTCTCCACGGCCGGTCCCCGGGCGGCCTCCCCGGGTCGGCCTCCCACCTCCCTCCCTCCTCCCTCCTCCCTCCTCCCTCCTCCCTCCTCCCTCCTCCCTCCCTCCCTCCCTCCCTCCTCTTCTCCCTCCCCTCTCCTGCCTCCCTCCTCCGTCCTCCCGTCTGCCTCCTCCCTCCCCTCTCCTGCCTCCTCCCTCCTCCCTCCTGTTTCTCCTCTCTCCTTCCTCGTCCCTCCTCCAAACTCCCTCCTCCCTCCCTTCCTCCCCCCTCTCTCTTTCTCTCCCTCTCTCTCTCTCTCTCTCCCTCTAAATCGTCCTCCCCCCTCCGCGTCCCGTCCCTCCTAGCATCTTCCCTCCTCCCTCGTCCCTCCCTGCTCCCTTCCCTCCTCCCTCGTCCCTCCGCCCGCCCTTCCAAAGAGAAATAATCCCCCTAAAGGGGGTACGTTCGAATACTAAGAGGGCGGGTATCGAGGGTGTGCCTCGTGATTCATTCAGGATTCACCCTTTAGTCACCCGCCCGCCAGGTTTCGCCCGCCCGATCCGCCTGTTACAGCCCGCCCGTTCGCTCTCTTGGCATCTCGCCCGCCCGCTTTAAGCCACCGCCCGCCCGACCCGCCAGCGAGGGTCCGCCGCCCGACCCGTCCGTTGGCGTCCGCCCGCCCCGCCAGCCCGACCCGCCCCTCAGAGTCCGCCGCTCGACCCGTCTGTCTGGTTCGTCCGTTTGTTTACCTCCTCTTTTGCCCCCCTCCCCTCCTGCTAACCTCTTTCGTCCTCCATCCATCCTCCCCCCCTTGCC